AAAAGATCTGAAAGCCCCAGAGCTAGAGATCATTTTTGACTCCAATACCAAAACCATAGTAACAACCCGCATGCAGATTATATGCAGATAGATTCAAGAGGGTCCAACTGCAGACCTCCACTATCAGGCCGGTCAGGATAGGAAATACACGCAAAAAATACAAAATAAAAGGCAAGGCAAGTTTATTTGTATAGCACATTTCTACAACAAGGCAATTCAAAGTACTTTACATTAAACATAAAAGCAACACAAGGACATTGAAAAAGAAACATATTAAAATATGATTTGGAAAAGGGTGAAATAGAATATAAAAACAGGGTTTTTAAAAAAACAGGGTAAAACAGGACAGTAAAAGTTTCAGTGCAGTGTGCAATCAGGGTTAAAAGAGTTAAATGGAAAATAAAAACAGGCTGAGGGGTTGAGCAAATAATTGAGTTACAATTGTTTTTTGTCTTTGAAAAGAGAATAAACCAATTTATCAGCTGGAAACCCCAAAACCCTCGGACACTGGCAACACCTTTAGTCTACCACTAAACAGGCATGCAGACTAGCTCAGCGCAGTGAGTGAAGGACAGTCCGATGGTGGGGAAGTTAGGAGTGAGTGATGTGTCTTGGATTCATTCTGCATCTGATGGCTCATCATCCGACAGCGATCCACTTGCACAGAGTAAACATTTACATTTACTCATTTGGCAGACACTTCTATCCAAAGCGACCTACATTTGAGAAACAACAGAGCATCAAATACAGATCTACAACTGACAATACATACTAGTAAGAGCAGCAATAAATACTAGTAAGACCTCATAGTACCTATCGCATCAATGTGGTAAATACCTAGGGAAGGAAGTAAGAGTTTACAAAAAGTGCAATCAAAACAAAAAAAAACAATCAATACAAGATAATTGTAGGTGATAGAAGAAGAAGAGCACAGGAAGTGCATTTTAGAGGTTAGGAGTTAGATGTGTTATAAGAGGAAGTGTTCTCGGAAGAGATGAGTTTTCAAGAGCTTCTTGAAGTTAGAGAGGGACGCCCCTGCTCTGATGGCGTGTGGTAGCTCGTTCCACCATCGTGGTGTCACAGATGAGAACAGCCGGGACTGGGATTGCTTTGTGTGAAGGGATGGCAGAGCCAGGCGGCGTTCGTTGGAGTAGCGTAGCGGCCAAGAAGGAACGTAAGTTTGTATTATGGAGTTTAGGTAGATGGGTGCAGACCCAGTAGTCACTCTGTATGCAAGCATTAGTGACTTGAATTTGATTCTGGAGGCCACGGGGAGCCAGTGGAGGTCACTGAGTAATGGAGTGACAAGAGTCCTTTTGGGCTGATCAAAAACCAGGCGTGCTGCTGCGTTCTGAACCATTTGTAAGGGTTTCACACAAGTTGGATGACCTGCTAGGAGGGCATTGCAATAGTCGAGGCTAGAGATAACCATGCCCTGTACCAGAAGTTGGGTGGCGTACTGAGTGAGGTAGGGCCTGATTTTCCTTATGTTGTATAGAGCAAAGCGGCATGACCGAGGGACAGCAGCAACATGGTCTAAAAAGGACAGCTGGTCATCAATCATGACACCCAAGTTTCTCACCACCTTGGTTGGAGTGATGGTGGATAGATTGCTTGGCTGGAATGACCAAGAGTTCAGTCTTAGAGAGCTTTAGTTGACGGTGGCAAGCCTTCATTCATGCAGATATGTCCGAGAGACAGTCTGTGATCTGCGAAGGATAGGTAGAGTTGCGTATCGTCTACGTAGCAGTGGTAAGCCTCGCAAGTGAATGATCAGCCCCAGTGAGGTGGTGTAAATTGAGAAGAGAAGGAGCCCTAGCACTGAGCCTTGGGGCACCCCTGTGGAGAGGTAGTGGGAGGAGGATAATTGTCCTTGACGCCAGAGAGGTAGGATTCAAACCACAGGAGTGCTTTACTCGAGATGCCCATTGCTGAAAGAGCGGATAGCAGGATCTTGTGGTTGACTGTGTCAAAGGCAGCTGATAGGTCAAGCAGGATAAGAACCAAGGATTGGGCTGCAGCTTTAGCTGACCTTAGGGCTTCTGTTACAGACAGAAGAGCCGTTTCAGTAGAATGGGCACTCTTAAAACCAGACTAATATGGATCTAGGAGGTCATTCCGTGAGAGGAATTCTGAGACCTGTTTGAGTTAACATGCACAAACGCTGTATTCAGCCCTAAATTATGGCTTGCAATTATTGTGAGGTATAAAACATGTGCCAATAGGCCTAACATGAAGAGTGGTATGGCAATAAACATGTAGCCTATGAAATAGGCTAGTGCAAAGTTGTCTTTCCTTACTAGGCTACAGGTGTGTTTTGTGGTCCCTTGAGTGTGTGGCTCCCTCGTGTGTGTTTTTTTATCTGTGAAAAATAATTTTACACCGCCATGTAGGCTATTGTTCAGCAAGAAAATATTTTTTTCCATTGGGTAAAAATCTACTTTGAGTTTTGGAATTGATGGTTTCTTCAATAAATACTTTTGTTTAGACTTTTAAACTGTTGTATGTTTAACTACTGGTCTGCATGCCCGATGGAGTCCGTAAAAACAAGCAGAACAGTAGCCTGAGGACACCTTATTCTACATTATTATTATTATTATTATAGCGCCTATGAAAACAACAATAGTCATTTTTCTAAATTATGCTACATAAAATTCAGCTGGGTAAGGTAGGTAATTGTTCGCATCTGTAGTGAAAACACCAACATTTTACCACCACAGGATGAAAACAAATACAGAAATTGGCATAGCAGGCTTATAACCTACAGTTATTAAAAAGACCAAAAAGATTATTGGTCCTATCTTTCTCCCAGCGCACAGTGATTGGCCTTTTTGCATTGACGAAGAAAAAGAACAAAGAACAGGTCTAAAGTCAATGGCACAGTATTTCACTGTTTTTCTTATTTTAGGGGCGCATTACTGTGACACTGTGTGCATTTATGCACAAGGTACAGCAGCGTAACTTCATTGATTATTAAAATCTCCTGACACGCTGGCAGCATTGGTAAGGATGTTAATTGATGTTCTGTGTTCTTCTACACATCCAAAGGTCTCACACACAGGTCAGGTTCATACAGTGAAACTGTTTGGAGTAAAGCAGCCGTCCTCCTGATCCATCCTGAGCTCCATCAGAGCGTCTAAATAATTTCAGAAGATCAAAGTTGAATTCGGTTTCCTCTTTGTTTTTCAGTTCTGCTGCTCAAATAGGCTACCCCGCGACATTTGTTGCGACTTTATTACGCACATAACGTTTAAAATGACTGACAGCAGCCTCTCTAATTATGAAAGTAAATCATTTAAAAACACTCAAATCAATAAAACACAAAATAAAGAACCTTAAGCGGTTCATCATTTTATATTAACGCAGCACAGTGAGGATCCAGACATTAGAGGAGACAGGGTCTCCAGACTGGAGTTCCGACTCTTCACTGATAAACTACAGAGCTGCAGAGTAACATAGGCTTCATGATCAGAGATGGTTTTTAGATCACGTCCACGCTTATCTCCATATCCCCTCTCTGCTTTGAGTCTGCAATTCAGTCAGTCAATTGGTGTTTTTCATAATGTGGCATTCAGACCAAACGCAAATTTAATCCACGCAACGCTCTCCTCATGTGGGTTTAATGGTGTGTTCCAGCTCAGCACTTACACCGACTTTGTGATCAAAGATGGCTGTCGGGGTATCAGTTAGGAACCGCACTTACCCTGACTTTGTGATCAAAGATGGCTGTCGGTGTATCAGTTAGTGAAAGCTGTAGTTTATACTGTTCAGAAGCACTTATGTGTACTCGTGAGTTTGTACACAAAGTGCTGTCCAACAATCTGTGGACGTGTTGCTACAGTATTTAATGTGCCAAAGACTTGTGAGCATCTCTGATGCACACCTCGCTTGCAGGACTTAAAAACAAGGCAAAAACATAAAATAAAAAGTGCGCAACGTGTTTCAGCGTCGTCAAGGTAACGTGATAAAGTGCTGTCCCGTTCACAGCATTTTGAGCCCTTGCAGCCACTTAAACTCACTTTCCAAGTGACGTCAGTAAAGTCTGAGGGTTCAGGGCTTGGGCCTTGGACTCTAGCTCAAAGACTTGTGAGCATGTCTGACACACAGAGATTCCCCCCCCGTCAGTCACTTCATCCTGGCGCCAGGCCTGAAACCAGGAAATATTTTCCATCAAATATGATCCAGTTTCAGCAAAATCAGTGAATAAAGTTGTGCTTTTATGAAGTAAGCAGTGGTATTTTTTGTTATTGATGGACCAGATCCTGCCATGTCACCTACATGCCCAGTGCAAGGCATCTCATTATTTAACCAATTCCTCTGGTTGTGCACCACAGACAATGTACATAAAAACTAAAAATCACATTTACACTGCAAGCTCAAGAGGCAGCGATACAGCTGAAAAGTAAATTTCTGCTCTATGTAAAAAATTATGACCATTAGCTACTAAGGGGTCAAAAAATGCATGCCAGAACTGAAGACACCGTCTTACGGTTTACAAATGTCATCATCTTTGTTGTTTTAATACAGACACATTTAGATATGAACATAGTAATGGTTTCTTTTGTCCAGCTTTCTGCCCTCATTTTTAAGCTGTATCTCTGTTTCTTCATAATTCTCAGAATGTCATTTTGTGCAGTCTCTTCAACAAAGTCCAACCACTAATAAAACTTGATCAGTACTCGTATTTTCCCTTGTCATGTTACCTTTATATAGCACACCATTCACAACCCAATATATCATCCAAGTACTTTTCAACTGGGGAGGATGTAGTTTTGGTGTTGAAGTACTGCATTATTCTGAGGCGTTTCCGTTGATCCTCTAGGGATATTTGCATTCTCATTTTCCCTCTTTATCTACAATATACAGTGGATAGATTCCTCTGCTCAAAAGGCTGAAGATCACCACCAACAGTATCCTTGTAAGAACAGTGTCACCGTTTCACCCCACACAAGTCATTTACAGACTTACAAGTCTACATTAACAAAAACCACAAGACCTGGTTTACCGTGTTATAAAATGCGATTTATTCCCCCCCCCCCCCTCCTTAAGTCTTCTGCAGCATCCTTATGGTGCCTAGAAGAAAAGAAATTGATTAGACTTAAATACACTGAGCTGATAGGACATTGGCATAGTTTACAGACTCACCTTTCCATCAAAGCACCGTTGTTCACATGGCCTATCTGCTGGTAAACACACTTCTGTAGAGCACATGAAATAGATCTACAGGGGAAAAACAAAACACACCATTCACCATGGCAGAAAAAGTGTATACATCCCATATGCGTTTTCCACAGAATGACAGCACTGTTGCCTCTAAAGTACAAAATCTCAAGTGGAGGCAATTCAGTTTGGAGCAGACACTTGAAAGCTAGACAAATATTACATTGACATATTTGGTAAATTTCATTTCCGCTTTGCAATCATAATAGCGGGATAGAATAAGTCACCACATTACTGTGTCAGGGCAGTTGTACACAGCATAGCTTTGACCATTTAGACCCATAACGGCTTCCTGATTACTCACTTCTTCATCAAGGTATTTGTTTGTCTTTTGAACCATAAACTGGAAGGCTTCAACCACAAACCGCCTCTGATGACGATTTTTGCAGTCAATGATTTTAAGGAGGGACACATTTGGAGCATAAAGGTTGGGACACCTGGAGACAAATATGACTCATGGTTAGGCAGAAAGAGGGTGAGGAGGGTGTGTTTTAGTACACATGGAGTTCGGTCATGCTTACCCTTCATAAATAAGCACCAGTGCATTCCTTGCAGAGCGAGGGTAAGCTACACAGTAGTTGACAAGGATTACCGCATCTGGTTTTGGTGATATCAGGCGCAGTTCAAGATAGACTGGACTGCCAAGGAGCAGTCGCAAGGGCTGATTATTTGTGGGCAAGTAGCTTGAATACGTCTGATCTGTTGGGGTTAGACAGACAAAGAGCAAACAGTCAATGAATTTGACAAGTCCATATTTCAGAGCTACTCGTATGCAATCCTACTCCAGCAGAATCAAGATTGTACTTGTTGCAATTGGTATAGAAAATAAGGCATAAATACCCAACCTTTAGCAATTCTCAAGTCAACAGCATATAAGCCATTAGAGAGGACCGCTGACGGCAAGGTGGAACTCGGGGTCTTCACCATGTAGCCAATGCTGGTTAGTGACTGCGGAGCAACGCCTGCTTTGCTATAGCGACACTCAACCATGAACCTATGCAGATACGTGGGTTAACATTTAAGCTTAGCACTACACAAACACACAACAGAGTGGTAGAATTGTGCCCACAGAGTCAAAGTGTATTGTGTAACACTAACCTGAGTGGATCACGTGTTGCAATTACGCCATACTGGAGGGTCAGAGATTGGACGACAGTCTGCACTTCAGCCAGGTAGATCATCGTCTCACCAACTTCCTGTCAAGAAAAGTCAACTTGTCAGCTGTTTGCTTCAGGTTTCCCAGCAGATTACACAGCATGCATAATGTAATGCCTGAAGCACACCCTCCAAGACTCCCAGTATGTTTAGAGTGAGTGCATTTATAAAATCCCTTTACTTGTGATTTAGCAATCTGCTCTTTTAATGACCACCACATTGAGAAACACATAATATTCTGTGCACCTTACAGCACAGTTAAAAATCTGAAATCTAGATGCAACACTATCAACCTGTGACATAACCGTGCGCTACAATGGCAGGTCAGGGCGAGGAAGTCGAGGGAAACTTAGAGGGCTGCAGCATTAAACGTGCTGCCTGTATTTGGGACAAGCGTCTCAGGGACAGGCCTTTTTCCTGCCTGTCAGAGAACATGAAGTCTCTAGCAACTTAACTGAAAGTTAAATGTAATCCCTTCTGTTCACAGTATAGGTAGTAACCCCATTGCAGAAAATAAAATCATCTCCCCTTCAAGGATCTTGCCAATTGTTCAGTCAATCTCAATTGAAATTGAGCCTCAAGGCCTGCAGTGTGAATATAGCTTAACTAGGACTAGGCTTTTAAATTAAGTTTTACAGAGGTCAAGTTGTGAAGCATCTTCCAACTTGCTAAAAAAGTAACAAAGTGGAAAGCGCACTGGGAAAATATAAACACAAAGGGCATGACTTACATAAGCATGAACTCCACATTCTGAATTTTTGAACTTAAAGATGGCAACTTTGTCGTTGACAATGACTGGTTTACAGTTTGTACTCCCAGAAACAACAAGCTTGGTGGGGTCCACAGGGATTGATGCAGAGTTGGCACGAATGGCGAACACAAAGTGTTGATCAACAGTGCACTCTAAAGAGAGGGGGGGACAAAAGTCACTTGAAAGACAGACATTTCCTATTTGAATATTTTTTTAAAAATCAGAAGCCTCACCATCCATTGGGTAGTAGCAGGTAGATGTAGAAGAATCCACACAGCATCCCATCATCTCACAGTCTGAGGACGATATTCCTGACTGGCCACAAGTCACCTGCTCTCCTGTGGGGATGCCACAACCTAATAGGACAAAGACCAAAAAAATAAATTCTGACATCAAAAACCAAAATCCAGTAAAGTGTTACTGTACAACATTTCTATTCAGCACATTTGCTGAACGTACTTTGTACTGACCATGTGTCGTTGGCAATGTTGGTAGTTGCGGCCCTTGCGGGGATGAAGGCTGTTGTGGGGATGGGGGCCCTTGGGGTGATCCGGGCCCTAGGAGCGCTCCAGGCCGTTGCGGACATGCAGGCCGTTGCGGCCGCGCTCTGGTTGGATGAATTTGCGGGGATGAAGGTTCTTGGGGCAATCCAGGCAGTTGTGGGGATGAAGACCCTTGCGGCGACCCAGGCCCTAGGGGTGAGCCAGGCTGTTGCGGGGATGAAGACCCTTGCGGCGACCCAGGCCCTAGGGGTGAGCCAGGCTGTTGCGGGGATGAAGACCCTTGCGGCGACCCAGGCCCTAGGGGTGAGCCAGGCTGTTGCGGGGATGAAGGTTCTTGGGACGACCCAGGCCCTAGGGGCGAGCCAGGCTGTTGCGGGGATGAAGGTTCTTGGGACGACCCAGGCCCTAGGGGCAATCCAGGCTGTTGCGGGGAAGACGGCCCTTGCGGCGAGCCGGGCCCTAGGGGCGAGCCAGGCTGTTGCGGGGATGAAGGTTCTTGGGACGACCCAGGCCCTAGGGGTGAGCCAGGCTGTTGCGGGGATGAAGACCCTTGCGGCGACCCAGGCCCTACGGGTGAGCCAGGCTGTTGGGGCGACCCAGGTCCAAGGGGCAAAGAAGGTTCTTGTGGGGATGAAGGCCCTTGGGGCGAGCCAGGCTGTTGCGGGGAAGCTGGCCCTTGCGGTGAGCCGGGCCCTAGGGGCGAGCCAGGCTGTTGCGGGGATGAAGGTTCTTGGGACGACCCAGGCCCTAGGGGCAATCCAGGCTGTTGCGGGGAAGACGGCCCTTGCGGCGAGCCGGGTCCTAGGGGCGAGCCAGGCTGTTGCGGGGAAGACTGCCCTTGCGGCGAGCCGGGCCCTAGGGGCGAGCCAGGCTGTTGCGGGGATGAAGGTTCTTGGGACGACCCAGGCCCTACGGGTGAGCCAGGCTGTTGGGGCGACCCAGGTCCAAGGGGCAAAGAAGGTTCTTGTGGGGATGAAGGCCCTTGGGGCGAGCCAGGCTGTTGCGGGGAAGCTGGCCCTTGCGGTGAGCCAGGCCCTAGGGGCGAGCCAGGCTGTTGCGGGGATGAAGGTTCTTGGGACGACCCAGGCCCTAGGGGCAATCCAGGCTGTTGCGGGGAAGACGGCCCTTGCGGCGAGCCGGGTCCTAGGGGCGAGCCAGGCTGTTGCGGGGAAGACGGCCCTTGCGGCGAGCCGGGCCCTAGGGGCGAGCCAGGCTGTTGCGGGGATGAAGGTTCTTGGGACGACCCAGGCCCTACGGGTGAGCCAGGCTGTTGGGGCGACCCAGGTCCAAGGGGCAAAGAAGGTTCTTGCGGTGAGCCAGGCCCTAGGGGCGAGCCAGGCTGTTGGGGCGACCCAGGTCCAAGGGGCAAAGAAGGTTCTTGCGGTGAGCCAGGCCCTAGGGGCGAGCCAGGCTGTTGCGGGTAAGAAGGTCCTTGCGGCAAGCCGGGCCCTAGGGGCGAGCCAGGCTGTTGCGGGTAAGAAGGTCCTTGCGGCAAGCCGGGCCCTAGGGGCGAGCCAGGCTGTTGCGGGTAAGAAGGTCCTTGCGGCAAGCCGGGCCCTAGGGGCGAGCCAGGCTGTTGCGGGTAAGAAGGCCCTTGCGGTGACCCAGGCCCTAGAGGCAATGAAGGTTCTTGCGGCGAGCCAGGCTGTTGAGGCAATGAAGGTTCTTGCGGCGAGCCGGGCTGTTGAGGCAATGAAGGTTCTTGCGGCGAGCCGGGCTGTTGAGGCAATGAAGGTTCTTGCGGCGAGCCGGGCTGTTGAGGCAATGAAGGTTCTTGCGGCGAGCCGGGCTGTTGCGGGGATGAAGGCCCTTGCGGCGAGCCGGGCCCTAGGGGCAAAGAAGGTTCTTGTGGGGATGAAGGCCCTTGGGGTGAGCCAGGCTGTTGGGGCCCTTGGGGCAAGCCAGGCTGTTGCGGGGAAGATGGCCCTTGCGGTGAGCCGGGCCCTAGGGGCGAGCCAGGCTGTTGCGGGGATGAAGGTTCTTGGGACGACCCAGGCCCTAGGGGCAATCCAGGCTGTTGCGGGGAAGACGGCCCTTGCGGCGAGCCGGGCCCTAGGGGCGAGCCAGGCTGTTGCGGGGATGAAGGTTCTTGGGACGACCCAGGCCCTAGGGGCGAGCCAGGCTGTTGGGGCGACCCAGGCCCCAGGGGCAAAGAAGGTTCTTGGGGTGAGCCAGGCTGTTGCAGGGAAGATGGCCCTTGCGGTGAGCCGGGCCCTAGGGGCGAGCCAGGCTGTTGCGGGGATGAAGGCCCTTGGGGTGACCCAGGCCCTAGGGGCGAGCCAGGCTGTTGCGGGGATGAAGGCCCTTGGGGTGACCCAGGCCCTAGGGGCAAAGAAGGTTCTTCTGGGGATGAAGGCCCTTGGGACGACCCAGGCCCTAGGGGCAAAGAAGGTTCTTCTGGGGATGAAGGCCCTTGGGACGACCCAGGCCCTAGGGGCAATCCAGGCTGTTGCGGGGAAGACGGCCCTTGCGGTGAGCCGGGCCCTAGGGGCGAGCCAGGCTGTTGCGGGTATGAAGGCCCTTGCGGCGACCCAGGCCCTAGTGGCAATGAAGGTTCTTGGGGCGAGCCAGGCCCTTGCGACGACCCAGGCTGTTGCGGAGATGAAGGCCCTTGCGGTGACCCAGGCTGTTGCGGGTAAGAAGGCCCTTGGGGTGACCCAGGCCCTAGGGGCATGAAGGTTCTTGGGGTGAGCCAGGCTGTTGCGGGGAAGACGGCCCTTGCGGCAAGCTGGGCCCTAGGGGCGAGCCAGGCTGTTGCGGGTAAGAAGGCCCTTGCGGTGACCCAGGCCCTAGAGGCAATGAAGGTTCTTCTGGGGATGAAGGCCCTTGGGGCGACCCAGGCCCTACGGGTGAGCCAGGCCCTTGGGGCGACCCAGGCCCTAGAGGCAATGAAGGTTCTTCTGGGGATGAAGGCCCTTGGGGCGACCCAGGCCCTACAGGTGAGCCAGGCTGTTGCGGGGAAGACGGCCCTTGGGGCGACGAAGGCCCTAGAGGCAATGAAGGTTCTTGTGGTGAGCCGGGCTGTTGCTGGGAAGACGGCCCTTGCGGTGAGCCGGGCCCTAGGGGCGAGCCAGGCTGTTGCGGGGATGAAGGTCCTTGGGACGACCCAGGCCCTAGGGGCAATCCAGGCTGTTGCGGGGAAGACGGCCCTTGGGGCGACCCAGGCCCTACGGGTGAGCCAGGCAGTTGCGGGGATGAAGGCCCTTGGTGTGATCCAGGCCCTAGGGCAATGAAGGTTCTTGGGGCGAGCCAGGCTTTGCGGACATGCAGGCCGTTGTGGCCGCGCTCGGATTGGCTCAATGCGCTTAAATGTGGGATAGGATTGGCCACTGGAGCCAGGAAATACGCCTGGGTCAACCTTCAGGCGTCTCTCACAAGATGCGGTAGCAACTTGTGTCTGATCAAACGCGTTGACGTACAACAACTGCAGGCTGTAGCGGTCACTCTGTAATACAAAGAGCTTTTTGAAGAAAGAACTCAATTCAAGACATGCAAAACTACACATTAAAATATAGACTACAGAGCCAAGGCAATTACTTCAAAGTACATTTAAAGAAGCCTACCCGTTTCACATGGCACCCGGTAAAGGGTACAGCCAAGGTGTTAGTCAAAGGGTTCACTTCATAACCACAAGACTCTGGAGCATCCATAACAGACAGCAGGTCCTTTGAGCCTGATGAACGAAGTGAAAGCCTAGTCAGTTTACAACATGCATTCAGCAAATAAAGACATTTAAATAGGCAGCAAAGTCAAGTACATACCCACAACTTTAACTTCACTTAATGAACCTTTCAGCACAGTAATTTGAAAGCCAGCGTCACTGCAAACCACATCTAGCCCAGTCCGACGCCGACTGGTACCGCTGGTCTGGCTCCTTGAAGGGATATTGTCAAATTCCATCTGGAAACTACTATCAGTACCTCTGCGCCATGTTCTTGGACTAGAATCTACTGTGTCAATCTGGTCTCCATGGTTAGCAAAATTGTAGAAGTTTCCACTGGCGGTGGCGCCTTCAACTTGAAGCAATGAATCCTCAAGAACTGCATCTTCACCGCTGTCGTCCTCCCTGCGGTCATCTGGAGTGGAGAGAGGCAATTGTTACCAATGTCACAGATTGCAGTCAAAAAGAATTCAGCCATTTCTTGTCAAATCGATGTAGACAGCCCAGCCAAATAGTTTCTTCCAGTCTTTATGACTAAGCAGTTGCTAGAGTGGACAGAAACACAGACATCTCAGGTCATCCATGCTTGATATGATGGAAATACATAGGCTAAAACTAGGTACACGGCAATCTCCACTATCGCGGCTGCCATCTTTGTTCCGATAGACGTTAACTCTGGTTTTTCCCCTCAGTGTCTTGCAGTGTTGAGAAAATTACTCTTTTTGCAGAACTTCCAGGTTCTGATTCATTACACCGCCAGAAACCATAGATACCTCCTCGTTTCAAGACTCCGTCTTTCCCGTTGAAATACTGGCATTGTGAGCGCGCCAAAGTTTGTCAGTCACAAAAAATCTCATTTTTTGCTGAAGTATAAACATTTGTAAACAACTGTAATAGATATTTAGTTTAATTGCTAGACTACAAGTGAACAAAATTTCAATGAATTTGAACAACAACCTTGGGGGTTTTATTGCCCGCAAAATCTGCTTCAATTGACTAAGAACATAAGAAGCAGCCAGCAGAGTGTGCTATAGCCATGCCGTAGGGTCACACCTTTTGCTTTAACTTCAGGGAAAACAAGACAAGTGTAAGGGACTACTTTTGGCTTTTAAATGACCAGTGTTGTGCAATTATTGAAGCAATAAACCTGGTCTTGTTATCATTTTCAAGTATATTTCAAGCCCTTTCCAGCTGTACAATTTGTTTTAGCATTTGACCACGCTGCAAATTTTGTTCACATACCTACTACAATCATAAAGTCCATGACTTTGTAAATGACAGCTACAAAGCGATGTCTGCATGTTACCATCCCTCATAATGACATAGTGGTCCAGTTGTAGACGTATGCAAAAGACGACATTTGCAAGAACCTGCTTTCAGTGACCACACGCTTATTATCGGTGCTGTGTCATTGGTGGTTGTTTACCTGGCGAGGGACGTTGAATTTTCTTGATCCGCGCCCATCCCTCTACTGAAACCAGCAGAGTCGCAGTCAGGACCAGCAGCAGCTCTACCCTGACGCCAGCCATGAATCAATGTGAAGGCCCTCCTGCAGTTGCTGAGCACCCAGACAAAGATATAGCCTCTTGAACGGAGCGGGTGGCGGTTTGAAGTCAATTGAGTGCACCTGGTGACTACTGATTGGCACTCGCTACTCAACTAAAGTCACAGGTTTGGGAATGAAAACTGCCTGTTTACTAAAGGAAATGCCTATTTCATGTTTCTAAGATGTTACAGTTCTTTTAAAATAAATCAACTGACCAACATTTAATGATGTAAATGTATGACATTATGTTACAAGTTACAGGCACACAGTCTGTGCAAATACTTTTTGAAATCTTTTCTTAAGTATAACTGGAATTTATCTTTCAGACAAACATTTTGAATACTGCAAGCATGTTCAGTTATTTTTTTTTCTAAATAACACCTTGGATATTGCTTGTTACACATTTAATCAACACAGGGTTTTCCTTTGGGTGCTGCATTACATTTGGAGGTGTCTCTAATATTGTCATTGTCTTCCTCATGTACAGTGTGTACATGTCATTGTTTAAAAAAATCATTGAAATAGATTAAATACTATATGAAACCATCTACTCTCCATCTCAAAGTAGAATCAACAGCTAAAACCATCTTACAAGCATCACACAAATACATTCTATCACAAAGATGTTGAATAGATTACACTTTACAGTTATACCTAATAAAGGTTGTCATTAACATTTAAATGCTTCATTTCACTGACGGATGGATGGATTTCACTGACTGAAATAATTAAACTCAGCTGGCTTTCATTTCAGTCTCCAAAAGAAAAGCTTCATGTAAACGGCTATGTTCAAATGTATTTCACAGAGCATTGCCGGACTTTTATCTTTTAAAGTTCTTCCATGATGATGGATCAGAAATCACACCTTTCAGCGTCTTTAACTAGAAGAAAAATATAAAATAAGACACCGAAATTTCTCGGGGGTGGCAAAAGAGTTTATTGCAAATATTTCAGTACAAGAACACAAACACCCATATAGTCTACTACTGCACCACGTCAAATAAGCAGACTATTCAAAAGTCTTTATCATTTAAAACATTAATGTCCTTTCTTGTAATCATATTCTCTAGAACCAAAAGAAAAACCTGGGTGTTTTTTTTAGTAGTGAAGTAGAAATTCCCTTGTAGGCGTTGGCCTTATATTTGACTTTGTATGTAACGCACCGCCCCAACGATTGCTTCACTTTTGGTCTGAAAGCACCATAATAGCAATGCGCCAAAGTACATGCGCACCTGGCTTTAAAAGGGAATGGGAAATGATAACGATGCCATTTGACCAACTATAGTGTATTAATGATTATTGACAAATATATATTGACATTTAGGCTACCTCTCCTCCACTCTGTAGGGCAATCGCCTGCAGGACTTAAAAACAAGGCAAAAACATAAAAGGTGCGCAATGTGTTTCAGCGCCGTCAAGGTAACGTGATAAAGTGCTGTCCCGTTCACAGCATTTTGAGCCAGTGACGTCAGTAAAGTCTGAGGGTTCAGGGCTTGGGCCTTGGACTCTAGCTCAAAGACTTGTGAGCATGTCTGACACACAGAGATCCCCCCCTCAGTCACTTCATCCTGGCGCCAGGCCTGAAACCAGGAAATATTTTCCATCAAATATGATCCAGTTTCAGCAAAATCAGTGAATAAAGTTGTGCTTTTATGAAGTAAGCAGTGGTATTTTTTGTTATTGATGGACCAGATCCTGCCATGTCACCTACATGCCCAGTGCAAGGCATCTCATTATTTAACCAATTCCTCTGGTTGTGCACCACAGACAATGTACATAAAACTAAAAATCACATTTACACTGCAAGCTCAAGAGGCAGCGATACAGCTGAAAAGTAAATTTCTGCTCTATGTAAAAAATTATGACCATTAGCTACTAAGGGGTCAAAATGCATGCCAGAACTGAAGACACCGTCTTACGGTTTACAAATGTCATCATCTTTGTTGTTTTAATACAGACATTTAGATATGAACATAGTAATGGTTTCTTTTGTCCAGCTTTCTGCCCTCATTTTTAAGCTGTATCTCTGTTTCTTCATAATTCTCAGAATGTCATTTTGTGCAGTCTCTTCAACAAAGTCCAACCACTAATAAAACTTGATCAGTACTCGTATTTTCCCTTGTCATGTTACCTTTATATAGCACACCATTCACAACCCAATATATCATCCAAGTACTTTTCAACTGGGGAGGATGTAGTTTTGGTGTTGAAGTACTGCATTATTCTGAGGCGTTTCCGTTGATCCTCTAGGGATATTTGCATTCTCATTTTCCCTCTTTATCTACAATATACAGTGGATAGATTCCTCTGCTCAAAAGGCTGAAGATCACCACCAACAGTATCCTTGTAAGAACAGTGTCACCGTTTCACCCCACACAAGTCATTTACAGACTTACAAGTCTACATTAACAAAAACCACAAGACCTGGTTTACCGTGTTATAAAATGCGATTTATTCCCCCCCCCCCCTCCTTAAGTCTTCTGCAGCATCCTTATGGTGCCTAGAAGAAAAGAAATTGATTAGACTTAAATACACTGAGCTGATAGGACATTGGCATAGTTTACAGACTCACCTTTCCATCAAAGCACCGTTGTTCACATGGCCTATCTGCTGGTAAACACACTTCTGTAGAGCACATGAAATAGATCTACAGGGGAAAAACAAACACACCATTCACCATGGCAGAAAAAGTGTATACATCCCATATGCGTTTTCCACAGAATGACAGCACTGTTGCCTCTAAAGTACAAAATCTCAAGTGGAGGCAATTCAGTTTGGAGCAGACACTTGAAAGCTAGACAAATATTACATTGACATATTTGGTAAATTTCATTTCCGCTTTGCAATCATAATAGCGGGATAGAATAAGTCACCACATTACTGTGTCAGGGCAGTTGTACACAGCATAGCTTTGACCATTTAGACCCATAACGGCTTCCTGATTACTCACTTCTTCATCAAGGTATTTGTTTGTCTTTTGAACCATAAACTGGAAGGCTTCAACCACAAACCGCCTCTGATGACGATTTTTGCAGTCAATGATTTAAGGAGGGACACATTTGGAGCATAAAGGTTGGGACACCTGGAGACAAATATGACTCATGGTTAGGCAGAAAGAGGGCGAGGAGGTGTGTTTTAGTACACATGGAGTTCGGTCATGCTTACCCTTCATAAATAAGCACCAGTGCATTCCTTGCAGAGCGAGGTAAGCTACACAGTAGTTGACAAGGATTACCGCATCTGGTTTTGGTGATATCAGGCGCAGTTCAAGATAGACTGGACTGCCAAGGAGCAGTCGCAAGGGCTGATTATTTGTGGGCAAGTAGCTTGAATACGTCTGATCTGTTGGGGTTAGACAGACAAAGAGCAAACAGTCAATGAATTTGACAAGTCCATATTTCAGAGCTACTCGTATGCAATCCTACTCCAGCAGAATCAGATTGTACTTGTTGCAATTGGTATAGAAAATAAGGCATAAATACCCAACCTTTAGCAATTCTCAAGTCAACAGCATATAAGCCATTAGAGAGGACCGCTGACGGCAAGGTGGAACTCGGGGTCTTCACCATGTAGCCAATGCTGGTTAGTGACTGCGGAGCAACGCCTGCTTTGCTATAGCGACACTCACCATGAACCTATGCAGATACGTGGGTTAACATTTAAGCTTAGCACTACACAAACACACACAGAGTGGTAGAATTGTGCCCACAGAGTCAAAGTGTATTGTGTAACACTAACCTGAGTGGATCACGTGTTGCAATTACGCCATACTGGAGGGTCAGAGATTGGACGACAGTCTGCACTTCAGCCAGGTAGATCATCGTCTCACCAACTTCCTGTCAGAAAAGTCAACTTGTCAGCTGTTTGCTTCAGGTTTCCCAGCAGATTACACAGCATGCATAATGTATGCCTGAGCACACCCTCCCAAGACTCCCAGTATGTTTAGAGTGATGCATTTATAAAATCCCTTTACTTGTGATTTAGCAATCTGCTCTTTTAATGACCACCACATTGAGAAACACATAATATTCTGTGCACCTTACAGCACAGTTAAAATCTGAAATCTAGATGCACACTATCAACCTGTGACCTACCGTGCGCTACAATGGCAGGTCAGGGCGAGGAAGTCGAGGGAAACTTAGAGGGCTGCAGCATTAAACGTGCTGCCTGTATTTGGACAAGCGCTCAGGGACAGGCCTTTTTCCTGCCTGTCAGAGAACATGAAGTCTCTAGCAACTTAACTGAAAGTTAAATGTAATCCTTCTGTTCACAGTATAGGTATAACCCCATTGCAGAAAATAAAATCATCTCCCCTTCAAGGATCTTGCAATTGTTCAGTCAATCTCAATTGAAATTGAGCCTCAGGCCTGCAGTGTGAATATAGCTTAACTAGGACTAGGCTTTTAAATTAAGTTTTACAGAGGTCAAGTTGTGAAGCATCTTCCAACTTGCTAAAAAAGTAAAAGTGGAAAGCGCACTGGGAAAAATATAAACAAAGGCATGACTTACATAAGCATGAACTCCACATTCTGAATTTTTGAACTTAAAGATGGCAACTTTGTCGTTGACAATGACTGTTTACAGTTTGTACTCCCAGAAACAACAAGCTTGTGGGGTCCACAGGGATTGATGCAGAGTTGGCACGAATGGCGAACACAAAGTGTTGATCAACAGTGCACTCTAAAGAGAGGGGGGGGACAAAGTCACTTGAAAGACAGACATTTCCTATTTGAATATTTTTTTAAAATCAGAAGCCTCACCATCCATTGGGTAGTAGCAGGTATGTAGAAGAATCCACACAGCATCCCATCATCTCACAGTCTGAGGACGATATTCCTGACTGGCCACAAGTCACCTGCTCTCCTGTGGGGATGCCACAACCTAATAGGACAAAGACCAAAAATAAATTCTGACATCAAAAACCAAATCCAGTAAAGTGTTACTGTACAACATTTCTATTCAGCACATTTGCTGACGTACTTTGTACTGACCATGTGTCGTTGGCAATG